AGTGGTCTTAGAGTTACCTCTATGGTTTAAGGACCACCATTGCACGCTACGTTCTAGGTGGCGTTTTAGTTGTCTTGACATAAACGTAAAGGATTATCGTTCCTCTGGATTCGGGTCATCAACACCAAGTAGGACATCGTTCTCGGGCTGAAAGTCCGAAACACCTAGGAGAATTTCCCTTCCCGCTTCGACAGAGGGCGGCCTTGCCGTCGTCGATCGGCTTTATCAGAAGGAAGCGCCTGTGAATCGGAATCATATCCATAAACCAATAAACCAACTTAACACCGGTAAAAACCAAACCGCCATCGCACTATAGCTGACGTTCGGTAAATAGACGCGCTAGTTCGACCGCCATCTCGCTGTAGTCACCGGTAGACTAGTCAGTGGTACCGCCATATTTCCGACAAGGTCAGCCTTGCATCATCCGCCGTTGCCTGAATTGTTCCGGAATCTCAACTAGCGGTGGTACCGCCATCTTGCCGTCAAGATCGGCCTTTCATCGTCCGCCATCGACGGAATCGTTCCGGAAAGGCAGCGAGCGCTCGCTGGACTGCAGTCGTCGTAGTCGTCATCGTTGTCAAAGGTATGTGCCAGAATATCGGACAACACCACACAATTCACACCATAGTGCTAAAGCGGTAAGATGGTAATTTGAAGAAAAACAGTGTTTAAGTTGATCCGCTCTGTGTTTCAGATAATTATTTGAAAGCTTGAGTGCCCTTTAGTCCGCGTAGCTCCGCAATTTGTTTATGAGTAATTCGTACAATCTGAGTGCTCATGTTTTAGAAATTTACGAGCGGTACATTTTTACAATTGTGTTGCTAAATGGATCATTTATTAATTTATAATGCAAAAGTATGTCTGCCGCGAGGTCTGCCGAGTAAAGGCCGGCGCACAATGCATACGTTTTCGGGTTTTTTGACAGATAATGCATGGGCTAACTGCTAAATCCGAAAACGTATGTATTGTGCGCCGGCCTTAAGTCTGGGTAACTTCAACCAAGTAATTATACTCAGTAAAGATAAAACAAATTTCTTCGGGACATACTAAACTCAAAGGATTTTCAAATCTAAATAGATTAAAAGTTACGCTAAATCGCAACTCTCCTGACCGAAGCATAGCTTGATATAAAGAGAGAGAATGCACACTATTAAAAAATGGTTTATACGTGACATACCTAGCATAAAACAGAAATATACCTGAAATGTGTACGGTTTATTCAGAATGCTTTTATGGCTTCTTTTTCAGTGCGTGCTGCGTGGTCTTAATTTTTGTTTACATATAAAATAAAAGCTAGTAACCAATTGGCGTTGACGGCGACTCTGTAGCTCTTTACTCCTATGAGAAAATCCATAAGCGAACGTCAGACTGTGCGTGAAACATGGCGGACTTTGTACTATCCTTTCACTCCACCGAAAATTCTCATAAGAAACTGTCTATATTTGCTGAAAGAGAAAATTTTTCGACGGTGCCGTCAACGCCAATAATAGTTTATTCATAACAAAACAGTCGGAGAGCAATACTGGTAAAAGCTATAAATTACGAATGGCAGAACGTTTCGGTTTGGCCGCCACTTCCTTTTCGTCGTTGTCATCGATCTTGTCGTCATCCTTCGACCCAAATCGCAAATTAGCTCCACCGGTGGAATATCCGTGAAATGAGACCAGATCTGCTATCAATACTAGCGCTACTAGGCGCTGCTAATGCTGAAAGATCCGTGTTGCGACAGATTCTCGGAGTTCTTTCAGCAATAAACCACTCAGCAATAATTGTGTATCAGCTTAAAGCTAGAAATTAGTTTTATTTTAGGATAGGTTTTTCAATTTTAGGCTTTCTACTTACAATTCAGTCTCCGTTTATGGTTTTTTTTTTAACTAATCACAACAGAGTACTTTTAATTATAATATCTAGCCTGTAATTCAATTTCTGCGTTTAGCTATATAACAGCTTAGTATTTTATAAATAATTTACCTCATAAATTCAAATTATTTCAAACAACACTATCATTAGCTATCCAATCAGTTTTGTTTATGTTCTCCTTAATCTCGTATCGCATACCAATGCTTCTCATTGTCTCTCTCTCTATATTCCTCATCTCATCGCATTTGACGGCTTGTGCTTCCCGCATCGACCGTTTGATGTGATGTGGCGTGTTAGCTACCATTACTGGTAACCGGTACAAGGGGCTGTTGCGGCGAACAATCCGCTAAGATGCTACTAATGCTGTATACTCCGAAATGATGGTTAAACAGCAACTGGAACCTTTCTGGCCGTCGTACTTCACCTTAAGCTGATCGATGTTCACTCTGTATACGCCTTGAGAGTTTCCAATGGAAGGTGGAAATTTTTAAACGTCGTTCTCATTATCGTTCTCGCGACGTTCCTGCACTCCAAATCACTTTCACTTGGGGGAAAGATTGAACTGGGCTCGTTCTGAACCATATTAAATGCAAAATAAAATAAACTTACTCTTCATCAACTTGCTTCTCACCCAGTGGGGAGTTGTAGCCAATATTTAAGTTGCTCTTCCTCCTGTCAACCGTTTTTTTTTTACATTTTCGGGGCACTTGACAGCTTCCTGCTGAGTTTTCTACACGGCGAATGAGAACGACCCAAATTTGAGTTTAGTTCACTCATAATCGCCAAAAGTGCAGGAACTCAGCGATGAGTAAAATTTGTCTCATGGTTTCCTGTGGAAAACCTTAAAAATCTGCCGGAAAATGAGGAAATTGACGAAAATTTTATTCAGTCTCGGAGTAGTACCAATAGACTGAGTGAATCCAATCTTTACTTTTCTCAAATTCGGGAAAATCCTGGAAAACCCTGGGAAAACATGAGGCAAATTAACTCATCGCTGAGTTCCTGCACTTTTGGCGATTATGAGTGAACTAAACTCAAATTTGAGTCGTTCTCATTCGCCGTGTAGCCGAAGAGGTTGCCGGTTGTGTAAACTCAACACAAGAACGCTCATCGATCCTCTTTTCGGTATCTTGAATCCGTAAATCCATCGAGCTTCCACCTTTTTTTCGATCCTCCAGCAGAGTTGTCACCTTATCTACTAATTGATCCAGTTGATATTTTTCCTCCAAATCAAAAATTCCCTCGAATGTTCCGGACTGAATTCAGACTTCATTCACCGGTGGAATTTAGCAGTTTTTTTTTATACACGGTTTGAACGTCTTTATTCCAACTAAGTATAAAAATGAAAGCGAACTTTAATCAAACCAATGCATAAACCTAGCTTGATCATTAATCGATTAAATTGTAATCTCTCTTTGTTTAGTAAAATTTTTGAGTGTAGAGAGGGTCTAGTATAAGAGAGGAGCGGATTGGTTCTCTTTATTAAGGAGATTTTCAGCCAGACGCTGGTTCATCTCCGGCGGAGCGGATTCAAAACAAGGTCTTGGCATCATATGCCTAGATGATTTCTAGCATCACTGCCAATGCAATCAAGATAGACGCTGCTCGATTGGCTCTGGCTTTGACAGTTCGTTTGGCTCAGAACCAGCCAGTCTGCTCCTCTCTTAAACTAGACCCTCTCTAGGACATACTGGTCTTAGATATGGTATAAGCTGCTGATGAAACCACAAAACCGTCACTGATGCAACAATTTTAAATTTTTCATGGCATGCTGATGCGTTGGTGATCCATTGATCCTATCGCTCGTAATCCATGTGGCCCGTGCCATAAATCTAGCACAACAAAACAAATAAATATGTAGGTAGATGTTTACTTTCGGGACCTCCCGATAGCCTTGTCAAGGCTCGACATAGTACGCTAAAGATGGCGGATTCGATTAGCGGACCGAGCAACTGTTCGGTTTGGAAATTATATTGATATCCCTTAGCACTATTGCTCTTGGCACACAATTTGCAAAGTCATGCCATGGTACTCGGAAAGGACATAATAAACAAAGAGAGCAAACATACTTTCCAATTGGAACGTCATAAGTCAAGAAGAAACAAATTTAGTTTACATTACCTCCCTGATAACAGAAGTCGCATATAGTATAGATCGTTATCACAACGAATTCACACGCTCAATAAATTCCGTCAATTCTTCGCTCCTCCATTAAAGACTACTCTATCTTCACCCACGGCTAGGCTGAAATTTACAAGCACTATTAAGATTGATGTCTTGTTTAAACAACAAATTTGCAAGTCGACAAAAGACCGACCTTACGAGACACTTCGAACCGCCATGTGACTGACTGATAAAACCGGGCAATAGCGGCTCTAGAATTACAATCTGCATCTAATTTGGCTTCTAGGTACCTATTCGTTCTATAAAAGCAAAGCCAAAAAGCAGCAATTTCTGAGGGTGAGGCTCCCAGGAGTCAGGTAACTGATCATCAGTGTGTATGTCACGAAAAGGAGGCAAAAATACGGCGGGAGAGAATGTGTGAAATTCGAAAGGAAAAACAAAACCGCTCCTCGAGAAAATAAGTATCACTGGTCAGCAGTCAGAGTCAGAGCCAGTCAGTGTTATCGCGCCCGTCCAACGGAACGCAACAGCAGTTTCAGATCAGTGAACGTAGTGCAAAAAAACGGAGTTTCCGTACTTTTAGCAGTAGAGACTACCCAAGCAGTGAAGGTATGTTGGACCCCGCATAGGAGTCCGGCTTGGTTGGCCGTTGCTATAGTAACGAGTAACGATCTCTAGCAGCGCAGCTGGCCGGGCGTGAGAAAGTGTTTTCGAGCTTGTTTCTTCTTTGTTTCGCTGTTTTTGGCGAGAGGAAAGCATAACCAGAGAAATCATATGTTTGGATATTTATGTTCTAGAGGAGAATCTACAACTGCGAGAGACAAGGAGAACACGTGCGTGCGCATAAGATAGAAATGGGATGTGATATGGGCGAGTTATATAGGGCAATTTTCACCATACGTTGCGAAATATTCGGCTGCGAGTTGAAAGTCTCTAGATGCGCAGCAGTGTTTTGAACAGTAGGTATAGATAACTATATATTATTCTTGAAGCAGAAGAAACCACGCAGTATGTAGCGAAGTGCTAAGCAGCTAGTTGCGAATAAATCAATTTAAATGGATACACGCTACAGAACAAACAGCTTTCACTTTTGAACGGAGTGGTTAACAATCAGTGGTTTACTTTACTAGTGGTGCTACTTTACCATCAGCAGCTGTGTGTTTACAAACCTTGAAATTAAGCCAACCACCAAGCAGGCTGTGTGTTGTTCTTTCTTGGAACAAATCGAAGAAACCGTGTGACGGAATTTTGTTACATTGATATTTTCTTCCACGACCAGACAGTGATTGGGCGACCTTGACCCGTTTACGTGCGGAAGGAGCGATGTGCGATTTTCCACCATCACGCAATTGACATTGATGAAAAGAAAATACGCATAAATCGTTATGCATAAAAAGGTCCTGTTGCGTTGAATAAGTTCAATAATGCTGGAAATTACACGTCGATTAATAGGTATAGATATTCTTCAATGAACTTTGTCAGATCGAAGTAGATGGTGCTGAAAAACTGACATGTTTTGTTTTGGATGATGTTTGTGTTTCGTAAATTTAACGATTTTATACTGAGGAATTGTTTATTTAATGCCCACGATGTGATAAAATTGGATCATACTCATCAAATTCGGATCGCTTATAGTCGTCGCGTTGTTTTCAATAACGTGTTTTATCGCATGAGGTGAATTTATTCCAGAAGTTGTAATGTTTCGTCTTTTGCTTCATCCTTGGAAATAACAAAAAAATGCATAAAGCGCTCTGCTTTTTTTTCGTGTTGGGTATATTCATCACTGCGACCATTACTTTGATCTATTGTGATATTCCCCGTTTTTATATTGCTTTATCAGTTATGTCGTATCACTATTTTGTAAAGTGACCGACATAGACTGACCAAAAGCATTTTCCCAGCCAGGTATTACATTTCGAATGAAATGTACTACTTTACTGGGACCTGCATTCCAAATATCTGCCAGCCCCTTATCCAGAAAAATACGCCTTTTATTGAAGATTGCTGCACAAGAGCATAGCAGGTGTTCAGAGTCTTCCTTTTCTATACCACAGAATCGACACATATCCTCTTGAAGTTTTCCTATTAGCTTCAAATGATATTTACATGGACAATGTCCTGTTATCAAACCAGTATAGACACTGAGATCTTTCTTTGGTAATTCAAGAATTTTGCTAGTCATTGAAATATTCGGAATTATGAACCGTTTCGACTGCCTAGCAATGGAAGTGTTGTTCCAATTGGTCTCTACTTTCATTTTTTTCCATTTTTTGATCTCCATTTTAAGAGAGCAAGTAGAAACTCCACAGAATGGTTCTGGTCCTATGAATTGCTGAGATGATCCTAGCCTGGCTAACGTATCGGTTTTTTCATTCCCTTCAATTCCACAGTGGCCAGGAACCCAATATAAGTTTACTTGGTTTTGACAGGCCAATTTCTGAAGTGACATTGCACATTCCCATACAAGTTTGGAATTGAATGTTGCTGATTTTAAAGCATTTAATGCTGCTTGACTATCAGACATATTCATATTAGATATTCGAATGTTTATAATTCCTGCGCAAGCATATTACAGAGCATTCAAGAATTGCTTAAATTTCTGCTTGGAACACGGTTGGCCAGTAACCCATGGATATTGAGATATCAATCCCTGGACCAGTTACTCCTGCTCCCACACGGTTGTTCAATCTTGAACCGTCTGTATAAAAAACAGTTGAACCTGGACGGATGTTTGGTCCCCCACTTTCCCAAACATTACGATCAAATTCTGCTGCATTGTATAAACGATCGAAATTATATTTTTTCTCCACCCAATCTTCATTTTTTTAATACAAGAGAATCAATATCAAACATTTTTAAAATGATAAGATGTCCTGTAAGTTCGTTGAATCCATAAAGCGCTCCTTTCAGCTTCTAATTGGATAAATTGATGCAACGGAATCAGATAAAGTAGAGCATCTAGTGAAATACTCGGTGTGCTGTTCATTGCACCAGTTATTGAGAGAGTAGCTAGTCTTTGCAGTCTCCCCAGCTTCTTCTGAGCCGATTTTTCATTAGTTTTCGGCCACCAAACTAATGATGCGTAGGATATTCTGGGTCTTACAATCGTCAAATAAATCCAGAGGATCATTTTTGGTTTTAGGCCCCATTTCCTACCCAATGTTTTTTTACTTATCCAAAGAGCATTTATTCCTTATTAACAACCTGCTCTATTTATATGTGAATTCCAGTTAGGTTTACTGTCAAGAATGACTCCCAGATACTTGACTGTTCGTGAAAGTTCTAAAGAGGTTTCTTTCAATTTAGAGTTATTTATAGAAAATTTCCTTTTCCGTGTGAACGGTACAATAGTGGTCTTAGAAGGGTTTATATTCAACCCTTCTTTAGCGCACCACGACGAAACATAATTTAAAGCAGTTTGTATTCTATTTGAAATGACATTATCAAATTTTCCTCGTACTATTATGACTATGTCATCAGCAAAGCCAATTATCTCGAAGCCCTTTGCTTCTAAGTTTTTGAGAAGTTCGTCAACAATTAAAGACCATAAAAGAGGTGACAGCACACCTCCTTGAGGACACCCTTTTACAGCTCTAACTGTTGTGTATGAGCTTCCAAGATTTGCTGAGATTTCTCTTTTAGAAAGCATCTCATTAATCCACTTAACGATGCTTTTGTCGAATCCACGCTTCAACATATTGTTTTTCATGGAGTTATAAGATGCATTATCAAATGCTCCTTCAATATCAATGAATGCTGCTAGTGACATTTCTTTTGATTCAAAAGATTTTTCTAGTTTTGTAACAACCCAAGTAACAATTTCCAGTTGAAGAAACGCTTTCGTTTTGATTTTGTTCAGCTGCATGTTGAATAATAATTGCACAATGTGTTCACCACAACTTTTATAAAACCCTTGTTTACACTCGTTTGGAGAACCTATACAACTGCAACACAAAGGTGTTGTCTAACGTATTCAGTAAGACGTTTGCCCAAAATCAATTTCTTGTTGAAGAAACGCTTCCATTGTGATTTTATTCAACTGCATGCTGAATAATAACTGTACAATTTGTTTATTACAACTTCTGTAAAACTCTTGTTTACACTGGTTTGGAGAACCTGTTCAACTACAGCATTAAATGTCTACGCGGTATAGGAGTAGAAGCAACTTTTATACAACGTTTATAGATACATATTTAAACTCAAGCTTTATTATTTTGGTGAACGCTCTTATACAACGTTTGTAGACACTTCTTGACAGCTGCTTTGAAATTTAGTAGAGAGTGAACCTGAGAGGCATTTGTTGCACTCTTTTATGACTCCTAAATAATCATTGTACAGCAAGCGGTGAAAAGCGTTTATAGCACTTTTTAATGACTCCTTAATAACCGTTGTGTAAGTACTCACAATATTCACAGATTAAAATTAATTTAACAATTGTTGTGGTACGCCAAAATAATTGCTTGTACAGTTTTTATTAATTTAATTTATTTGAGCACATTGAAAAAATATGTAATTATGCCATAATACACATTCTGTGATCATGGAGGAAGTAGTAACTAGCATCGGTTTAATCTTTGATTGATATTCTTTCGATTAATCTCCCTAATAATTAATTGAGAGAATTTATCTAGAAATGTTATCGTTGATTATATGATATATGTCTTAAATTAATGTTTGCATTTATTAATAAACACCTATATATATAATTTACCTCTACTCCACCGAGGGTTTCTCGAAGCAAGATTCGAACTCATGATCCCGGATTGCCAGCCGCTTCTGTTTCCATCTGCTCTATTCTTGAATACATATTTTGATCATATGAGAGAAGTATATGAAGCTCATCTTGAGTGACTTCTCTTGCAGTCGAATAATCATTGCCTTATGGTCATATAAACGTGCCTATCACTTGTGCTATTTTTAGCAACAAAATTGTGGTTGGTGGTTGGTCGAACGTAAACAATCATTTAAGAGTGCTCCAAGCAGCTTTTGAAGCTTTTAAGCAAATGGCAATACAACTACATTCTTGTTCAACTCTGGAAGCTATTATTCAACGTTTGATCAACTCAGGTGTTGTATAAGAGCTCCCAATGGTTTGTTATGATGCGTTTATTCCACTTTCTATATAGCTCTTGTCAATCGGTTTAACTAAGGTGCTATAAAAGTTATCGTAGGTCTTATAAAGCATATAGTTAAACCAAACGTAAACAATCATTTAAGAGTGCTCCAAGCAGCTTTTGAAGCGTTTAACCAAAAAGGCAATACAACTACATTCTTGTACAACTCTGGAAGCTATTATTCAACGTTTGATCAACTCAGGTGTTGTATAAGAGCTCCCAATGGTTTGTTTTGATGCGTTTATTCCACATCCTATAGAAGCTCCTGTCAAACAGTTTAACCGAACGTAAACAATCATTTAAGAGTGCTCCAAGCAGTTTTTGAAGCTTTTAACCAAATGGCAATACAACTACATTCTTGTACAACTCTGGAAGCTATTATTCAACGTTTGATCAACTCAGGTGTTGTATAAGAGCTCCCAATGGTTTGTTTTGATGCGTTTATTCCACATCCTTTATGGCTCCTGTCAAACAGTTTAACCGAACGTAAACAATCATTTAAGAGTGCTCCAAGCAGTTTTTGAAGCTTTTAACCAAATGGCAATACAACTACATTCTTGTACAACTCTGGAAGCTATTATTCAACGTTTGATCAACTCAGGTGTTGTATAAGAGCTCCCAATGGTTTGTTTTGATGCGTTTATTCCACATCCTATAGAAGCTCCTGTCAAACAGTTTAACCGAACGTAAACAATCATTTAAGAGTGCTCCAAGCAGTTTGTGAAGCGTTTAATCAAATGGCAATACAACTACATTCTTGTACAACTCTGGAAGCTATTATTCAACGTTTGATCAACTCAGGTGTTGTATAAGAGCTCCCAATGGTTTGTTTTGATGCGTTTATTCCACATCCTATAGAAGCTCCTGTCAAACAGTTTAACCGAACGTAAACAATCATTTAAGAGTGCTCCAAGCAGTTTTTGAAGCTTTTAACCAAATGGCAATACAACTACATTCTTGTACAACTCTGGAAGCTATTATTCAACGTTTGATCAACTCAGGTGTTGTATAAGAGCTCCCAATGGTTTGTTTTGATGCGTTTATTCCACATCCTATAGAAGCTCCTGTCAAACAGTTTAACCGAACGTAAACAATCATTTAAGAGTGCTCCAAGCAGTTTTTGAAGCTTTTAACCAAATGGCAATACAACTACATTCTTGTACAACTCTGGAAGCTATTATTCAACGTTTGATCAACTCAGGTGTTGTATAAGAGCTCCCAATGGTTTGTTTTGATGCGTTTATTCCACATCCTATAGAAGCTCCTGTCAAACAGTTTAACCGAACGTAAACAATCATTTAAGAGTGCTCCAAGCAGTTTTTGAAGCTTTTAACCAAA